GCAGCAAATAAAAGACTTGCTGCTCATGAAAAATGCGCTCGTATTTATTTTTATGTTTGTTATAATGGATGCCAACGCGGTTTTAATAAAATAAAACTGTTCTGCCACTGCTATATAGAATGGCACATCAGAATTTAGATTTGTTTATAATTAAATGTTCTAGAATAGATTGCTACAAAATAAAAGTGAAATAAAGTAACTTGAACTATTTCAAAAAAAAAAACAAAAAAAAACATTGAATCCTGACAAGCACAGCCCCCACCGCCGCTGTACGCTGCACACGCTGAAGTATAAGCGAAGCTTGATAACAAGCCCTCGCAGTAAATCACTGGCGCTGCAATTATCTGCCTCCGCCGTTCCACAGAATTTACCCCGGCTTCCTTAGCTTGGCATAGCAAGACGTAACACTAAATTTGGACAATCAGCACTTTCATTTAGAGAGTAATCATACTGGAAGCTGCTGCCCGGGGCTTCAATGGTTTCAACACATTACCATTTAAGATTAAAGCCTGACTTGAACACCAACAAGTACAAATTCAAAATCAGACGAAATTCCTTGCCTTGGTTTATAGTAAATCAGACTTGCGTATTCCTATTTGGTTGTTTTGCACTGCTGTAATAGTGAGTTTATTATTATTGACCTACTACCATGTAACATTTCATTGTTTAATTATAGTATTTCAGTTTACATAGTCGGAGTGATCTATAGTTTTCAATGTGCTGCTTTTATTTCCTTAGAAAGCCGATGCTCAACAAATGCATGATAATAATAAATAGTAGGATGGAGGTGGGGTTCCTTTTCAGCATGGAGACACTGGTGGTCTGACCTGATTCACACAACAGGTTCTCACCGCACGCTCCACGATGAGCGTAACTTAACGGGGGCTTTTCCCAGTGATGTCAGGTCCAGCCCATGGTCTGCTTAAAATCCGCCCAACGGAAGCTGAAACTAGTCCAGTATTTGAAATCCCCAGTACTGTGCATGCTGATCACATTCGAATGTTCATTTTAAAAACCACAGTTAACACAATGATGTCACGTAGATGGACGTAGGCTACTCTCGCAAGGGTCGCCAACTTTGGGCAGCTGGCTGGCGTGAAATTTTCAATTCGAGACAAGTCTGCACGCGAATTTACCTGTATGTAACAGTTTTAGTACCCTGTAATCTGTAGGGTTTTCAAACTACCCCAATGCTTCTGATGTAGCTAATTTTAGGTTTATAGCGGAATAGTATAGATTTGCCATAAGACTGCTTGCGTGAGAATCTGAAAGCGTGAGCGTCACGCCAGATGCGTAAGAGTTGGCAATTAACCCTGCTTTCCCTGTACGTCTGTCTCTGATTTTCGGTGGCTAGCGATTCAGTATTGCTCAGCATTAGGAGCCACTTGCATTCATAATAATTAATAATAATTTTAGTCATTTACAGAACATTAGGAAAGCAGCCCAAAAACGCGCAACCCGCGACCTCCTAATATTTAACCGCAACTGTATTTTCAAAATCGCCCAACCTGGCAACTGGTAACTGGAAAAGCCAATCTGGGACAACAGGTGCCTTAGCGGTTAAAGGGTTGGCCACGTGACACCACGATTGACTTTAAAATAGCCAAAATGGTTTATAGTCAAATGAAATACCTGCTGGTCCTGGGTCTACAGCAAGAGAGCTCTGCTGTTTTGGGGACAGCTCTGTAAATGGGGTGCGAGCCACAGACGAAATCCAGTGCTGCAGTTGTTACATGCGGTTCATTTGTTTGTTGTTTACAGCGATTTTATGCATTCATTCTTTCCTTTATTTTTGCAGGTTGCAGTTTTCCTGGGGGCAGCTGAGTGTACACCATCATGGAGACGCTAAGTGCATTTGATGTTCTGAGGGATTTTCGTCCCGGTTCACTTCAGGGTGAATTCTGAGCTGTACAACTACTGCCATCTACAGACATTCAGGGAGTACTGTCAGTGGAATATCGTGTCTTTGACTTATCTAATAAAATTATTTGCAAAGCATATATTCCTGTCAAGTCAGTGACCAATAGCGTAGCACTTTACCTAATTATCATTTCTGGAAATCAGGCCAGTCATCCACTCCGATTCCCTCAAAAAAAACCACGGTTTGTATAACTGCTGACGCACACGCAACATTGCCGGTGGTATACATCGCTTTCGTTTACCCATTAAAAGCCAAATGAGCTGGCAACTACTGCTAGCTTGTTGCTTGGCAATCCGGATGATGGACATCTTGCCTGCACAACAGTGTAGTGCAGGAGAACCAGGGCTGAATTAAGGCTTCGTTGGTCTGGTGCGACCGTGGCATCGGCTCCTGACACAGGGGGCGAGCAGCAGGGTGCCAGATGCTGTTTCTTACCGAGCCCCGCCGTGAGCGGCCGCGCCACAAGGGCATTCGAATGCAGGGTCATGCAAAAACAGGCATTTCTGCGGGACTGTTCCGAAAGCAGTTACTGACCAGGGATCAGATTCAGCCTGACCCAGCCATAGACCAAACACAGGCCGCTCGCCTGTCAGCCGCTCGCCTTTCGAAAGGCACGTTCGACCACAGATGTTATTTGGTCATTTCCGCCACGATTTGGAACGTGGCGACGGCCATATTGCGATGCGAACTCTGCCGGCCTCTAGTATTGCCAGGCTGCCGACGGGGAAACGTGGCTCTAAGCTAAGCAGTCCTTTTTTTCCATCTGTCTCACGGGTTCTGGCCCGTTCCGTGGGCCATTGTGCGATGCACAGCTGCGCTGGTGGTGGCAGTGGGGGGGGGCGGCCAGGCCCAGCTGCCAGACGACTCCCCGAATAGACTTCCGCCGCAGGCTCGGCCCAGACCCACGTGCAGCAGGAGCCGCTGACAGGCACCGCCGCCTCAGCTGCACGCCAACTTGCACACTAATGTATTCATGCGCAGCTGCTGCAGCCAGACAGAGACAGGAGCAGTCTGTGCAGCCACACCGGCCCTCCCCGCATTTCCTAGCCTCCGCCTCACTCACCTGCTTCATTTATTTAATATTTTTTAAAACATAATGGTGCTCAACACCTCAAATCCAGTGTCAGGCAGCTAAACTGTGCAGAGAAAGCCACAGGAATAGCATCCATCAAAGTTTGGTCCCCAATTCACTTGCTCCCCTCCCTTCCACCCACCTCGCATTTAGCCATGACACACGTATGCATCGATGCATGTGTTTACCTACACATGACCATCCGCCTCTTTGTCCTCCGGCAGGTCGATTTGTCCCCGGGGCCACACGGGGCCACACTGCGGCATATTCCCGGTTCTCTTCTGCATTCCCCGCCCCGCCCTTCTGCGCCCCGCCCCGCCAGCGACATGCGGGCGAACAGATGGCCCAGACCTGCCTGCTTGACGGCGAGTCTCGCTCACGCGGCGGGGGGCAGCCAGCAGCCTGGGAGCAGGTGACCTCGGTGACAGCTCTGCATCATTATTTCATCCTTCGGTTTATTAATATTCTTAGAATCTTCCTTTAAACTTAATATTTTAATCTCCCCTTATTTGGCCTTGGCGTCTCGTCCAGTGTCGAATTCGGTGCCCCTCCGACGCACGTCCCAGCATACTTTGCCCTCCTTGCATGCCACCAATGAACCTGTGCCACCAGGGTGGGTTGGACCTCCACCACAAGTGTCCCACAGGCGCTGCACAGTTGCCGTGAAATCGCTCCAAGGCTAAAGGCTCACGGTCTGTGAATGATGCAGACCAAACGCAACTGTGATCTACACTGCAGGATGCAGTGAGTGCACGCTTACCTCACAGAGGTGATACCAGTGTCCCACATATCTAAACAGCTTACAGTTTCTCCCCATTTACACAGCTGGAGTTCTGGAGTTTAAGAGGTACCACAGCAAGGAAGAACAAGGACCAAAGGGTCTTTTGGTGTAAACCACCAGCCTGCAGAGCTGGGGAAGGTGCAGGGATGGTCGCCGCCTCGCTCCAGCGCGAATAAAATGCTCAGCAGCCGTTTTTGCTTTGCTTTGGATCAAAAGACATTTATTACATTTGCTTTTTCTTAAAAAAATGGTTTCTATGAAGGAAAGCTTGGCCAAACATTAAAACAAAAAAAAGAAAGAAAGATGAAATGCATGAAAACACAGCGACAGAAAAGGGGGGCCGAGCCGCCCCGGCCTGGATCTTGTGGTGCTGGCGTGGGTGCTGCGAGGCACTGCCCCCCTCCCCCACAGCCCACACCTCCCCGTTTGCTTTCGCTACCAAGCAACGTACGTTTGACACGGCAGTCTGCAATACGGGCCACGACCACAGCATATTCCAATATAGCATGAAATGTGACAGCAAGTCGATATTTACACGTCTTATCCAGACATGTATGAGGCTCGACGGTCAACAAAAGAACCAGTCATTTTCCTCAGTGCTGACTCACCCCCCCCCCCCACACCACCCCCCACCCTCACGAGGTGCTGCTGGCAATAAGAGTGAGGTCACTGCTGATGTTGTTTCCAAAGGCTACTCCAGACCCTGCCACCAATTTAGCACAAATTGAGATCTGGATCAATACAGGTTCACTCACACACGAGGGCCCTGCCACAGATCCTTACGATTAAAACGGCCGGCCTCGACAGGCTCCTCGTAACAGCTGACACACCGGATAAACACCTCCAGCTGCGATGGGGGCTGCACACGGAGCCAGGCATGCAGATGCACCCCATCCCCTTCTCGATTTAGCAGCTTTTAGCTTAAATTCCTCCAACTCACTCAAACCATCCCCTGCTGGCCACAAACAGTCATTACATGAGGTTCAGCACGAGGCCCCTAAGCAACTCAGTGGGGTGAACCTCTGGAAGGCTGGTAAATGGGGGGGGGGGNGGGGTGAACCTCTGGAAGGCTGGTAAATGGGGGGGAGACGGGGAGGTTGCACAGCAGCTGAGGGGAGGGTCAAAAGCATGTTCAGGACACGTAAAATAATTACACACCACAGTCGATATTTACAGGGAATGCGAGAGGAAGAAAGGATGCATAGGAAAGAAAAAAATGACCCAAGTTCACAAAAAACAAAGCTCTGGATTTTCCATTCTTATCGAAAAAGTAAGAAAATTTTAAAACTCAGCTGATATTACATGGAATGCTAAAAAACGTTCAAACATTAAGGTTCAAACAAATCTCATTTACGTTAATATATTTTGTATATATTCCCTCACATCTGCATTCGTAAATTTTGATAAAACTGCCTTTTTGCATTTCTAAAAATAAATAAATACATTTCTGGCCTAAATGTTCTTCTCTATAGCATAGTTTAATATTTTAGGTTTCATTCTTTTTTCCATATAAACAATTTAAGGCTTACATACATAACTTCAAAAGCAGAAAATATCACTTTTTTATCAAAAATTTCTCTTGACATGGTATGCAGCTATATACACACATGGCTGTTACTGGATTGTCTCGAAGCATGGGGAATGCCCATTTCCATGGCAACTGAAAGCTATAAGGCCACAAGTAGCTGAAGTGAAGCTACGGATTTGTGATGCAGTGATTTCCTGGGGGGAGTCGGGTTCGAGGGATGGCTGAGGTCTGCGTGTCTCTTTCCCCCACAACACAGCAGCCTTTCCGATCGAAAATACTCTTCTTGAGTCTTACTACAACCGTTGCTGCAGTTCGTCTGCCCCACGTTTAGCTCTGGTCTCTTTGAATTTCATCTGGTTACATAATGCCTTTTTATTTCCCACCTCACAAGGACAGACATAGTGGGAGGGACAGGAAAAAAACACTCTTTTACTGTCCTTCCGCTGGATGACGAACGTGCATGGGATGCACTAGCCCCGTGACACTAATCTGAGAGCGGCCTTTGTGCTTGTTAGGTTACTGTCAGGAAGCTGGGCCTGCAGGCTGTCCATGTAGCAGTGCGGGCAGAAACAGGACGTCCAGCTGACACATTGCGTGGGGTCCTCGGTACCTGCTTCTGTGATGGCTGTTTTCCAGGTAGGGCAGTGTGTCAGGGCTCAGCGACGGGGGCCCTGAGGGTTTGGGGATTCTTCCATCATGCATTGCATTAAAAATTAAAAAGAAATTGTAATCCCTTGCTGTTCAAATTTAGGCACATTTTTTCTGAGTAAACAAAAGTCCCGGGCCAAGTCTTGGCTCACAGTTTTGAGCAATGAATCTTGAATCCCCTGTTATGAGAGAGAGCCAACCTGATCACTTAAAAGTTAAAGCTGTTAGAGGATGGATTTCCTGTTTGTACACATCCAAAAGCGTCCTCTCTCCATGGGGCTGCAGGGTTCCTCTATGTCTCCACGGGCTCAGTTTTCACCTGAACCGGGATGAGGTGTACCTCTGACACATCCAGCACCTTTGTCTCCTCCAGTTCCTCTAGCTCCACCACGGGAGTCAGACCCTCACCCGGACTGCTGCTCGGCCCCTCGCCCTGCTCAGAGTGTCCATTCAGCGCCCCCTCCTGGCCGCCGCTGATAATGACCGTCCTGTGACCGCACTCGGCCTCCCGCTCACCGTAGCTGATGCAGGCTGCGGGGTCGCTGTTGACCAGGGACTGCAGATACTGGGGGTCCAGCGCCTCCTCCTTCACCTGCAGACCGCGGAGCTCGCCGGGCTTCAGCACGGTGGCGATTACTGTGCCAGGCTGCTGAGTCACCACGGGCTGCCCTCCGGGGCTCAGGGTGACCAGGCGCGGGAGGCCGTTGCACTGGCCGGCGGTGCTGATGACCCCCCCACTGGAGGTACTTAAGCCGGTGACCAGCAGCTGCTGTGTTTGGAGGCAGTCGGACAGGCTGGCGGCGCTCGCGGTCAATCCGGCGGTCTGGAAGGTCAGCACATCCTTGCCCCCGGCCGTGGAGGAGGGCACGGTGTGCAGGATGACCCTCTGCGGGGAGCTGTGGCTGGAGTCGCTGTTGGCGAGCATGGTGGTCAGCGGCACTGTCTGCAGGGTGACCGTGCCCCCTCCCTGAGCCGTCGACGTAAGGACCACAGGGACCGTGGTGGGACCGTTCAGGGCTCTGTGACCGCGGGGAAACAGATGGGGGTGGGGGGGGGCATCAGTTGTAACTCAGAGAAACACAGCTGATGATGTTGCCCCATGAAATCCCATTTACAAATGACCTGTGCCAAGCTCATTGGCCCAGTTCCCAGATTAGCCGCGTGGCGTCATGAACCCAGACAATAACGGAAGCACAGCGCGGGACAACACTAAACAGCTCCTGTGCCAGACTGCTGAGCTCTGTGCCAGCTTAGTCTGAGGCAGGGAAACCATGAAGACTACAATTTACTCACCAGCCAGGGAAAAATAAGTGAGACGTCTAAAAACGCACTGAGAATTACTCCAAGCTCAGGGAAGATTAGCTTCATAATACAGCCGCCGTAGTACTTTAGCAGAGAGACCACTAGACCGAGAGACTATTGTTCTATCTGCAGACTGTGACAGCCTTTAATAACAGAGGTGGATGTCTTTGAGTAGGTGGTTATCATCTGACTTTCCAGGTCCAGTGAGTCTGAGGAACGGCAGGATTTATAAGTTTATGGGGCTATTTGCCTGTCATTACCACACCTCACAGGAACGTGTATGCGTAAACATGCCTGCAATGGTTTCCATATTTCCTACATTCATCTGCTGGTGTCACCCTCAGCGCCTTTGTTTACCACCATTCAAGCCACACATTCGTGTGAGGCCCCCTGTTGGCCACAAACAGTCACTACACTAAATATTAAATAAATACCTTTTTTCATTATTATTATTTTGGAGATGCTGAATCAGCATGTTCTGCTAACCAGCTAGCTAGCTACCATCCTCTGACTCTATTTGTTAGCTATTTATTTAGTTCCTGAAATGCCTAAGGGGGCGGGGTTGAATTTTTGAATGGGGCCTCAAACCTGTCCCTGGTCACCCTATGAATCGGAAGGCGGGACACATGGCGTGGAAGGACGAGCATGGGCGTCTCACCTTATGGTGTGTGAAGGAGTGGGGCCCTCCAAGGACTGGCCTGATGGCAGCATGTGGACCGCCTGGAGCAGCTGCCCGGACGGCTTCTCCACCACGCCCGGGTACACCACGGCGGGGCTGGCTTCCCGTTTCACGGGTTTCATGAGCGCCGAGCCCTTTCCAGACCGGGACGCCCCACGGGACAGGCCTCTCGACGGGGGAGCGGAGTCCAGACATTGGTCATCTTCGTCGTCGATCACCACCAGGTCCGACGGCATCTCCTTGAACTGGTACACCAGACGCTGGCCCTCCACCTTGGCCAGAATGCCCCTCTGGTAGTAATACCTGCATGAAGGTGGGTGACATAGTGGCCCCTTTCCAACACTGTAAAGCTAAAGGGTAACACAAGCCAGCAGACATTCCTACCTGAGAGCCCTTCCCATGGTCTCATAGTTCATGTCTGGCTTATTCTTGTGCTTCCCCCAGAGTTTGGACACAGCCTTGGAGTCCACGAGTTTAAAGATGCCCTTCTCCCTCTCCGTCCACTTGATGTACTTGGGGCAGGTGTTTTTGTCTTGCAGTAGGGCGAGCAGAAACTCCCATAGGTAGATGGTGTTGCCTGGGTTGAGGGGGAGGGAAGACATACTTGCTTATTAATGACTCTCATACCCTCAACTAGGACACCTTGTAAAAACTTAACTACCAACCATAAGTCATCCTCTATTACAGGTTTTATTTAAGAAACGAAAATAACACTGAGGTACAATTACAGCATTGGCCGTCATAACTCAAGCTAATCGATCTGGCCGGCCGGACGAGCCCCCGGCCGCACGCGGCCCGCTGACGGACGACTACGTGGCTCTGGCAGTAGATTCGTCTTCTTTGACAGCCGGGCAAGCAGTCCGGCTGCAAGTGGTTAAAACAGAAACGCTGCCAGCGGCCACGCGCGGCCCAGCTGCCGCGGCAGGGTGATGGATACGGTGCAGGGAGCGCTCCCCCCTGCAATGAGCGGGGGGCGAACGAGGACCAGGGAGGGCGTGGGGAGGGGGAGCAGGCCCTGCAGCCGGCAATCAGTTGTGCGTCCCCAGCAAGCACAGCGCGTCGAGGGCCCGCCATCAATTACCTGACCCTGAGACCGGCCCCACCGGACAGAGAGCGGCTTCCTATTCTATCCCAGCAGAGGAGGCGAGGGAGGAGGTGAATGGAGGAGGCCAACCAAGTCCCACCCCCTCGGACCCCGAATGCCAGCTCACCTTTTCCCTCCTTGCTCCTCTTCTTCAGCGGCAGGCTGGGGGTGGAGATAGGGGAGCAGGAGCGTGTTGCCCGGGGTTTGCGAACCGCTGGAGCGATAAGACGGGGGGGTGGGGGAGCCCTGGTTTAGCTCTCAAAGTGGGTCAACAAAACTTAATTAAAATTTAATTCAAACACTGTTCGCTAAATGACACGTAAAATAAGGATTTGGCATTTACTTCATATACAATACTAATAAGCGGCTACAAATATTTATTTTTCTTCGTTTAATCTAATTCACAGATGGATCAGCCTTGGAATAGGAGGGAGGGACACGTGTAGGATAAAAACAGACATTAGGGCTACAATGGGAGTGTTGCATGACCAGAATAAATCTGCCGATGGTGATATGACACTGCCCCCTGCTGGTGGAGGTGGGACTGCATGTACCTTTGTGCTTTTTTTGTGGCTTGGTGGGATTCTTGCGTGGGGTCTCATCCATCGACGATTCCTCATCCAGTGACATGTCTATGTTGCTGCCAGACAGCTGCTCTGCTCGCAGTGATATGTAGCTGAGTTCAGGTTCCAAAAGGTTGTTGTAGGTGTTGACTAGACAGTGTCAAAACAAATTGATATTATTCGTTGTTGCTCATATGGTAATCAAAAGCTGTTCTTTTTTGCATTTATTTTCCAGCATTATATTTCATATATTTATTCAGCCAGAAGTCCTGGCTACCATGTGACCATCTCTTGGTTACAGTATATCCTATGCATATGTCCTAATATCCGTTCGTCACCCTGGTAGATCTGTGGATTAATAGTCAGGGTCGGGGGCGGGGGGGGGGACTACGCTTATGATTGGGGGGGGTCCTCATGGAGCTTGACCAGTACCCTGACTAAATACGAACTGCTGCTCCCTCCACACCCCGCCCAGCTGCTGATCTTACTCATGCGCTGCTCGTCCAAGATGTTGTTGGGCGACTCCATGTTCAGCAGGGCTTCCGCTGCCTCCACAGTCTCCATGCTGTCCCCAGGGTCCGAGCCTGAAGGTCGAGCTGTGCGGACAGACAGGATGGTCGATCAGCACGCCTAAGAATGTCTGCCTCGCATCTACGGCAAGCGTATCCTCATACTTGGCTGGAGGGATCCCTGTCACCAATCAGAGTGAGGCCAACCAGAGCCCCGCCCCCTTACCGGACAGCACGACGTCACCAGGCATGATCTGCTCCTCGGCCACGTCCAGGGGAGGGTCGGCGATGATGCCGTTGGGCACCTCTTCCGACTCCAGCCCAGAGTACACCTGCATGAGGTCTGTGGCGGGCACCTGCTCCACGATGACCGCAGGGAACACGGACGGGTCATCCAGCTGGGGGGAGGAGCCAGAGCAGCATTACGGAACAGAGCCCCCGGGCTATAGGCCGGCGGCACCAGGGCCACCAGGAATCACACCGTCACACTCAGCGCTTCAGAGGGGCCTCCTGAGTGCCCTGCTGCCCCATACCCTCCGAGATGATCAGCATCACAGGAAACGTTACTGAAGTTCATCACGGCATCACTGAAAGCGTTCTGACATGAACACATATTAGCCAACAGCTGCCATTCATCTGCTGGTTGTGTAATGACGCGCAATGCAGCAGTTACGCGACGTTAAAAGGGACAGTTGTGGGCAATGTCCAGAAGATGGCAGCATATTCGCTGCTTTTGCCTAGGTGACAAACCTAGAGGGCCAGCATAAACTTTACCAGTGTAGTTTATCTAATATATTTTCACCAGTTTGTTGGGCAGACGCCAGCTCTGGTTACTTAATTAATCACCTGATCCCAGCTGATAAACACGGATAATACACTGTCTTTACATACTGATATTTACCTCAGTAATTATCACACAGCCCTGAATAAGGTCTATCTAGAGCTACCATCGTCCGACTCTACTCACTAGCTATTTACTTCGTTTTTCAAACATCTGAACATCTGAGGGGGGAAAGGGGGGGGCAAAGTGCCTTTTTGAATGGGGCTCCAGAAGTCATAAAATGGCAAGCCACCTGATGGGCAACATGCAATGACGAGAACCTGAGACAGTCACACAGCAGAGGCCATCTTACTATACTCGCGTTAGTATAAATCCTTGCGTCATCCCCTGCTTCATAACATACTTCCACTGAAACACAGTGTTAGGCTCATACTGCCTCTCGCCAATAAAGGCAAGGGGGCAAAAAACTTTTCAGCAGTTGTACGTTTATGGAATAAAGGTTAGCATTAACCGTGTGTGATACAAACACGATAAAGACTGTGTCCTCGGGGGGAGCACTGAATTCCTCACATAATTACATGGTAAACGTGACAGGGAGAGATGTAGTTTTTCTCGTTAGCTGTTCTGCGAGCTCTATTGTACGGTATCTTCGTTAGGGAAACAACAGATAATCTTGGGGAATTTGGACCTCCTAGTTCCCTGTCCTGGTTCTGAGAATAACAGGCCCTCATACGCACCTCCCTGTTCCTCTTTGCCTGCTCACTGGAGCCCCTGGCCCAACTCTTCAGATGCAAAACAAAACAATAAACCGACACAGAAAATATTAGGAAGTACAGATAAATGTAGATAAGACCGTAGAGAACCGGAGTCTCGGTCATACAGGAGAAAGCGTGGGATGGTCTGTATAAAGGAGCTGGTGGAGAAGGCAGGGCAATCAGCTCCTGTTTCTGGCCCGTAATAGAAGATCAGAGACTGAGCTACATGTCTTTTCAGTGGAGTTAAGTACTGGCTTCAAAAACTCAGCATCTAAAATTCTCTGTACTATCGGACCATCCTGTGGAGGTTCTGCATCCTGAAGACACTCACAGGAAAAAAAGAAGAACCTTTTTCTAAATGACAGCCATCAGACGGAGCAGGTTTGCACCTCCATGCAATGAGCTATCGGATCTATAATTAAGAGCTGCTTTGGGACGCCTGACATTCAGGGGTGCTATCCTCTCTCGAATAAACGAGTGGGCACTGGACAGGATCGAGTGGAACGCGATGAGTTTATCCCAACAAAAGGCTTTGTTCAAATGCAGGGAGCCGTCTTCCCCGAACTGTGACAGGTTTGTCAGGTTAGACCAGGGAGGTGAAGGCGAGCAAAGGGCGGGGCGGGGCAGGGACGGCGTCAACCTGTCCAGCCAGAAACACGCTCGCGAGCCGGCTGTACAGGATGGAGGCGGCAGGCGCCTGCGAGTGCAGAGCAGGCACCTGCGCTCACGGACGCAGACGCAGATGTACAAAACAAACAGCGAACAAAAGCACCCAACACAAACATATTCACGCTCATCTCGGCTTGCGCTTTCCTAGACCGACACCCTGTCTGGCTGGTTCTTCCTGAGCTCTCACCCTCCCCCCCATAAAATCTTGGTGAAGGGAAGCAAACACCCCAGTCGGTTGAACATTCAAGCCAATCCCAGGAGCATTTCGGTAATCGCAGCCAGGAGTTTAAACCTCTACAGAAGGCCTGTCCAGCCTCTGCTCTTACCGTGGACGTATATCAAGGCTAACAATGTCCAATTTAGTACAAAAGTAAAGGAGAAAAAGAATATCCGACTTTTAAAAGGCAAACTGTACCTGGTGGATTTCATCCATTCCGTTGCTGGCAAAGTCAAAAACTAAGTCATTGTGCTGGACTACAGTTGTCATGGCGAAAAGGGTGTAGGAAAAAAAAAAGCAGAGAGAGAGGGCCTCCCCCCTCGAAGAGTGTTCAGCAGAACCAGGAACCGTCACAGAGGAACAGAGCAGTGAAGGTTTGGTAGTTTCCAAACAAAGAGGGGAACCAATGGGGCAGCCTGGTTCCTTTTCGAGTCCCTGGACCTGTCAGGCTTTTCTCGTTTATGTTGGAGGGTCGGCGACTTTTTACACGACAGCCGAAAGATGAGGAGTCTGTCGGTGTGCTGAGTCACTGGTGAGGTCAGGCCGCTGGCTTCAGCATGAAGTTCCTCTGTGTTTCAAACCTGCTGAGAAAGGAGATGGAAAAGGTTGCTTTTAGGAAAAACACCTAGTTGAGTGTCTTTGGCTGATTTATTCTGAGAATTAACCCTGGGAAAAAACCCACTCTGTGGGGGAGTGCCAGTCACACTCAACAAAAACAGTGCCTCAGACGCAAGCCTTGCTATACTGCTCTTACTTCTGGTGCTCAAAATACCCAAATGCCACAATGGTTATGGGAAATTTTACAGCACCCTCTCTCCCTTTCAATTTTTATACCCCTTTTTTCCATCAAAATAACAAAAAAAGTTGTTTATGTATCTGAAAGAACATGCCACAAGCATTTATTTCAGAAAGAGAGGGGAAAAAAAGCGTGATTACAGCACAGGTTTTAATGCGTTTCTGATTACTAATAACAAGTCACGTGTCCCTGAACGCGCAACGTTAAGGTGAAAGAAGAGAGGGCAGAGGCCGGTTTTCCCAGTCATGGTGTTCATGGCTAACAGGCTAATGGCCCAGCATAGATTGAAGGTGTACTGGACTGGAGGAAAATGCTAATCTGCGCCTCAAGTTGTTCCTAAACAAAGAGGTGTTAGGGTATAACTATGTTGGCGGCACGATCCTCCTCCGATGGGGGAGTGAAGGGGGTGGCAGATGAAAGGGGGGACATACGGGTACATCTTGGCTTTTCATGAAACTGGGTGCGGCCCTTTTCGCCGATATGGCTGTTCTGCAAACGAGCCTGCATTCCAGGTTGGACTGTGTCGGCGGGAGCCGGGCATGGAATGGAGGGGGCGGCCAGCCAGGCACATCTACGGCTTCCTTTTCCCTGCAGCGTGAGGGCTTCGGCTTTTGAAGGGCCTCCCAGAAGAGAAGTGGGTGGGTCGCGCTTCCATTACGCAACGCTGGGCCATTCCCAGAGAGCCGTCACCATGCCCACAGACCCCGAGGCCAGGGACAAACATCTGGAGCAGCTATGCGGATCCCAGCCCCTGCCCTCCTCCACACTCTCCGCCTGCTTCTGGGTCCTCTCCCTGAACCAGTGCTGTATTTGAAGGACCTTGATCTCCTCCAAGCACACGGAGAGCCCTCTGAGGACATGGCTGGTATGACACCCACCTGTCACTTGATACTTCTGCTACACCAGCCTATAAAGTGCATCCATTCATACTACACTAAACAAGCGCTTCCTCTGGCCCTGTGCTCTGAGAAAGCACACAGTTTTAAGTTGAACATTGACATTCTTCTGCAGAAAAACAAGACCTTTCCCTTTCATTTCCCAGCTCCAAATAAGGAAAATTTAATAGCACTTGGTCCCTATCAGGTCCCTATAAGCGCACACACAGCACAGGGACTGAATTTGCAGAGGGTGGATGACTAGCATGTCACAACTCTCTAATCACTCGCTTCTGCCTGTTCAGCCAATAGCGAACATATGATCGCACATACAGGTGTGATTGGACACTTGGCTTCACCATTCTGATCACATGGACCACGCTGAAATCACAAACTTTCACCACATTGGAGAAATGGCAGTTCTGTGGGGTGTGCTTGGGAAGTTCACCCAAGTAAATAGGTAAACACAGAGTCACCGTGCCCTCACGAAGAGAGAAATATGGGGATCGGTTTTTTGTTTTTTAAAGAACCAAAAAGTACTAAGCAGTAATTGCTGATCAGTGTGCTCACAAGACACAATTACTGAAGAAAGACAATGTAATTGTGTTAAATTACCTTTTTTATATCGCTTCATAATCTAACCGAGAATTCCCGTTGAGAGTCTTCCCCTTGGGTGTAACAGAAGGGCTCTCCCTGAGACTTCAACCTAAAACATTTCAGGAACGAGTATGACTGCTTAAGCACCTGACTATCCACTGCACCATTCAGAATAACCAAAAGGCAGGCCGGCAAGAGTCTTTTGTGTTTTTTTAACCTTCTCTTCCAGTAACAAATAGTGAGATCATGGGCTAAGTGGTGTCAGCACTTTTTAAGGGAGAGAGTGCTCTCAAAATAGCTCTTGATCTAATGACTGCATGAAGGAGGAAAGGAGCAGAGGACTCCTTCCCGGCATGCTGTGGCATTCCTGCTATTCCTCAGTACGTTCATTTTCCTCAGGCGGAACCGGCGGGGATGGACACAGGAGGCTGAGCATTCCTGGGCCTTTTCTTTGTTCTTAGGTTATATGGGAGGCAACACAGCTCCTGATTTACAGGGAAACAGCACTTAGCTAAACTATTAGCCACACCGTAAGCTAAAGCCCAAGAGGAACTGGAAACCACTTAGTGTCGATGCTCAAAAACAAAAACACAAAGACAGCGTCCTCACGACGGTCATGCAGAATCAGCTGCCACTTGCTGTCTAGCCGCGGTCTTGTGACTCCTCGTGTTCAGCGGCTCTGCGATGCACCGCCGGCTCCATGCCTGGTCGTTATGATCAGTCCGGTATATCACCAGCTCCCGGAGTGTTGCCTCTGATGGGCGTTTAAAATGGCTAAAAATCAAAACAAGCTTGTGTGCTTGTCAGGAGGCGGAAGAAATAGATTACATTTGGCTAGGTCGTCTTACCCCCCCCCCCCCATTATATATCATACCACTCAGATATGCCACATCTTTCGTAATACGATATGCCAGAAAGGACCACAAATAAAACAGGCCACTCTAATGCCTGCTGATTTACATTGGCTCAAATGAGCATCATTCATTTACAGGCCATTATCTGGGGACTTCTGAAAGCAGCCATAGAATCCCATCTGTAGGCAGCAGTAAAAACCACACTTCATTACTCATGGACTACCTAAATATTGACACGACTTTAATGAGAGACTACATCTAGCCATCCAGAGACCCGGAAGTCTACGAAGGACCAGGTTCTCCTCCAAACCAAATGCCCATGTGGAATTTTCACATTTGCTTGGAGTTTCCGTCTAAAGAAGCTAATAAGTTTTATTAAGAATCCCAAAGACCATTGGGCATAAATCAGTGAGTCTTGCACCCATCTGCTATGTTTGAGGTACTAAGATTCTACCTATAAAAGAAAGACGTTTAGGGCACGATTCTGGTTGTGAGAAACCTCCGAAGAGCTCGGGCTGTATGAGTACAATTAACCTCATGGTGTAGCGGGATGCCAAAGAAACGCTGACTGAAAGCAGAAGGAGTAACGTGCGAAAGGAAGGGAAAGCTGCCAGCAGAGAGCTACGGCACAGCTGCCGACGAAGGCCGGAGCCAGCAGGAGGACAGGCGGCATTTACGCCTCGACTGAACTTCACGGGTCTCGTCCTTCTCCGTTCTGAAGCTGGTGGGGTAGGGTTGGGGGGGGGAGTGGGTTAGGGCATGCCGGGCTGAGAGAGCAGACTCAGCCCATCTGAGACACGCCCGCACACCCAGGTAAGCAGCTACCGCGGGCGATGTCACCCAAAGCGACGGACATAGGCTCACATTTACTTGATTGAGGGATGCTCTCAAGGTCACCACCCGAAAATGAAATACCTCTGTCTGAAACTCATGTGTACAACTTTACAGTATTTTAACTATGTTTTCCTGTCTTGTGTCCATGTTACATCACGTCATGTTTTAATGTCCTAAATAATTATATTCTATTTATTATGGTTTCCTTGCACTGCGACCAATGAGACAGACATTTCAGCTCAGTGCGTGAGCTGTGCATCATATAGCTGAAGATGGCTTTGTATTGGTACTTCAAACGACACAACACCAGTACACCGCATGGTCCCCTGCCACTAACTAAGGTTTCCCTTCCTACGCAAGGCTAACGAGTTTAATCAGGAAACTCTTGATGTCTGAGCATGAAGAAACAGAGGAACTATCTAGAACTCAGCCAAACACTAACTGTCCTTTTGTTACATCACCACCTGTACGCTTTTATACAGTTCAGCCCTCACACACGAACTGAAAAGCGGAGCCCTGGATTCTTCGGCAAAAAAAAAAAAACTAAAAACCACCATCTTCGGTAAAATGTCAGCGCTTTCTGTCAACGTCGAGAGCTTAGGCCGCCACCTTATCAAAGTTAAGCAGGCCTGTTTGCTGCAAGTTCAGAAAAAAGGAAGACAAAAATAAAACAGAAATACAAAATTGGGGGGAGCCACAAAGTGACCTGTGAATCCAGCGCTCACAGGAAATGCATCACAGAGCCACCGTTTCTGTGACTTCCTGACTGTTAGACCACAGCCAGCCAGCACTTCTCTCTTCTACAGCAACAGTGGAAACTCTCGCCCTCCCTCCCTCCCTCTTTCTTTTCTTTTCTCTCTCAGTCACATGCACCCCCCCCCTCAACTCCCCAGAACTGCATCACAGGATGGATTTCACTTTTTTCCTCATTCACCTGCCTTGACATTATTCAGCCTCTTTTGTTGGACAAACATTTCGGTGAGACTGAAGAGGCTGACTGATAATTTTATTTTTTTTTAAATCAACTTCAAATAACCGTTAGAAAAAGGAAGCATCATCCATATAAAATGCTTATAACATCCATCATCAATTATTCAGTACAGGGTCATGGGTAGGGGGGTGGGCTTGTAGACCAGGCAGCACTGCGCACAAGGCTGGGGAACATTCTGGACAGGAAGACGGAGGAATCATAACAAAACACGTTACATATAAAATGGGGAAAAGTGAAACATATATTCCAATGAACTAGCCTCTGACACAGTGTAAGATCAGGCTACCCTGCATGGCGCTGCTGAATAGGTACAGACACACCGTGAGATCACACCCACAGTATTCACAAGGCCCCCAGCCCCTCCCAGACCCGCTTCCTGTTTGAGAGACAGAGATGCTGATCCCGTCATCGCAATCAACCACCCCCCCCCCTCACCCCCCGCGCATACGCACCCCTCTGTCGTGGTTTTCACTGCAGTTCTCAGAAGCGCCAGAATAAGTTCCTGCAACATCTCTGCTTAGTGTTTATCTCCAAAGTGAATTTTCAGCGGTCAGTCTATATCGAGAGATACCATACAACTGCAGGCTGCTTCCGGTAAATGTAGTACTCTAAGAATCTGCTGAAATGCACAAGTCAG